CAAGATCCATCAAAATAATAATTTTATCAATAAAATGAATTTTAAAATAATAAAATAAAAATAGTGAATTTTAAAGTATTTTTTTTTTTCATTTATATAAAGATTTATTTATTTTAAAAATTTTAATCTTTATTTTGAAAAAATATATTTTTGTTCTTTTTTTCTACTTTTTGAAAAATATCGTGAAAAATGAATTGCATCATACTTTCTATTAATATATTTGAAACATATAATGAAAAGCAAAATTGAACCAATAATGGAAAATTATATTTTCTATTATAAATAATAATTATGACAAAAAATAAATATCACAATAACATTTTACATAATTTGAGCTAACATAAACAATTTTGTAGAATTCTTAATTTTTTTTAATTCAATTAATTTTAAAACAAAGAACATATTGACTCGATTTTGAACATTATTATATGCAAAACTTGTCGCAATATTTATTATCAGTATAAATATTTTTAAAATTGAAATTGTTATTCGTATCAAAGTGTTTATATAGGGATGTCGTCTTAATACGCAATTTATAATTATTATTTAGATATATAGAATATAAAAATGAAAATGAAACTAATTTGTTGTAATATAATAAGAAAAATCATTTCTCTCATAAATGAAAGATTATTAACGCGATAAATTTTTATGAAATGTCGAGTTTCTCAATCTACTACAATCTAGGTTTATATACATTTCTTATATAGCATTTTCACGGACACGCGTCAATTTGACAATTGACAATTTGACATAAACAAAATCATACATTTTTTTTTAAAAAACAACTTAGAAAACAACATAATTATATTATTAACTTATAAATGAAATTTATAAATGAAACTTGAATAATATAAAATTTATAATATTCAACATTATATAATATTACATTTATTCCGCGCATTTTTTACATGTATATTCAATTTTATTTACATATTTTCCACAAATAATTTTTATATTTTGTAGAGATATTGCTTTCGTTTATTTTATAATCTTTTATATATTTCTTTTATAATAAATAATTAAATAATAATATCCGATTTGGTAGGTTTTGCATTTTTGTAAAATATTAGAATGAATATGAATAATCAATGTTTTGTTGATTTTCCTTATCTTTGTTGGCAACTTCTTCGGGCAATTGAAAAAATATTCTACCTTTGATAACTTTGAGTTTATTAACTGATATATATTCTTTATAAAATATTATTGCATTTATTGCTGCTAAATTTGAAATATTGAAGAATGTTGAAGAACACTTGGAGAGGCCATTGAAAAAATGCTGCTTTTACGGTATATTTCAGTATCATTTGATTTATTTCGTCTATTCAATTACATCTACTCAAAATTTAATTATTGTAATATTAGATTTGTTTCTAGGATGTGTTTGTTATTATCTTTTAATTTTATAGACATATACTTAATGCTTAAATAACAATACCATTAATTTTGGCTTATTTTTACAGATAATAAATATGGAGTTTTCCAATTTATAATGTTTTGAAGAATATAATTTCATTTCCTTCTCTTTTCCCCTTTTTACTAGTTTTAGGAATCCTTTTTGACTCAGATGTTTCGATTAAACTGGTTTTATTTATAATTAAATTTTTCGCAAGAGAAATATTAATAAAAAAATAATCCGTTATTATATTCTTGCCTTGATGTAAATATGGTTTATAAACTTTTAAACTACATATTTGTGTTCAAGAATGTTGAAATTTTTGTTTCATTTTTATCCGATAAGGGAAATCATTTATAACATATTTTGAATTTACATTTATTGTTAATCAAAATTTTATGTGATGATTCATTTGATATATATTACATGAATCTGCATTAAGTTTTTGTAAGGAAGAGTTACTCATCTATTGAAATATTTTCGTTACATTTATTGATTCTTGAAATTGACTTTTGCTTATAAATAATTTGTTCCATATTTCATTATATTAATTTAATTTATCTATATGAACGTATATAAATTGTAGATATAAATTGATCTCTAATTTTTCGACTTATTGCAAAAAAATAAAAAATGATTGATGATTCAAATTATTCAATTACTTTTCAAAACACTATTTTTGCTTTGATACAACATTTTATATGTTCTAACATGTTTTTGCTGATTACTAAAGAGACTTAGAAGACATTGCTTGCTCTATTTGCCATCATATTTCTTTTTGCGTAGCCAATAGGACTAGTGATATTTTTGAATATTGTTTGGATGATCTATTGCTAGATTCGCCTATTTCCAATTTCTTTCAAATTATTCCATCGATTACAATTTCTCTATTAGATTCATTCAAATTTTGAAATGATCTGGAAATATTTTTGTCTCAGAATGTTTTTGAACTCAGAATCAAATGACATGCATTCTTTTCCACGCTATAACGAAATTCCGGAAATTTTCCTCTTCATTATCTGATGATTTCTTCGTCTACTTTTATTTAATATGAGAATTTTAATTTCATCCTCATTTTGAGATAATTCTCATTTAGTATTTGTTAAAATTAATATTAAATTTCACAATAATATTACGGATATTCGAAATGCACTACTACTTTCTTCTTGAATGCACAGACTAATAATAATTGAAACTTTAGAAGTGTCAATTATAGTAGTTTCTAAAACTACTTCACGCTATGTTATAATTCATATATTGAATTTTGTTTATTCTTTTAATGCTTATCTCTTTTCTGTATTAGGATTTCCACATAGGATATATATAGGTAAATATATAGAACAATATCACTCATTTCAGATTTAAGATATCGGATTCGTTGCTGCATTGTTCATATTTTCTTTTAATATTTAATTTCTTGAAGAACTAATTCTTTTATCATATTTATATTTATTACAGCAGTAATGTTTTCATGAGTGAAACAAATTTATTATTAATGCTTACTTAATGATAATTGATGCATATCCATAAAGATAAATAAAAAAATAAATATATCATATACAAGAATTTCAATATTGAAAATTCTGAAGAAAATGAATTTCAATATATTTGTTTGTTTGTTAAATGGATAAGTATAAATGATAAAAGAAAAATGTAAACGATTTTTATAATTTTCTTCATGAAATTCAAAATGATGTATCTCGTAAATTTAATATTAAAAATATTGCAAAGATGTTGTGTTCTTCGAAAAAAGTTATGAAATTAATATCTTCAATTGAATGTAAAATTATGTTTTCAATATTCAAAGACATTGGAAAGACAAAATTTGCAATTATAGAAACAGAAATGTTGAAAAAAGAAGAGGATGTAATATAAATAAGTCTGTAAGCATAAAGAACATTGAAAAGAAAATAATGTTGTAACTATTGAAAAGAAACAAAAAGTAGATATAAAAGAAAAATATTTGTTTTTTAAAAATTATGTTTAGCATTCGCGAGGAAATATGAAAATTGATTTCTTTTGAAAATGATTGAATGGGACAAAATTAATAGAATTAATAGTGATAGACTGATATTGAATTGAAAGAAAAGAAATCCATATAAGACACATAAAGCAAACATGAAGGAGATTCTGTTATGCATTGAAAGTTCATGATCGCATTCGGCATTACATATTGATTTATTACATAAAATAGAAAGTATAACGAATCAATATAAGTATAAATTCATTTAAAAAACATTTCAAAAAGAAATTAAGTATTATAAAAAACATGTCATTTCCTCAAGAAAATATCATATTTCTTTACATAATAGAGATTCTAATCTATATCGCTAAAAATATATAATATAAAATATATAATATAAAATATAATATAAAAATATATAAAAAATTGGTTAATCCTTTCGTTATGGTAATCCGCACCAGAATAATGTTACTAAACAGAATACTGCGAAAAGTGTATATATTGTAATATTATGTAATGTATACATTGTAATATCGATATTTGCATTTACATCTTTCAACGCTCTCTTGTATGTATATTTTTTTTAAGTGTTACATAACAATTGTTTTTCGTATTATGTGAAGAACATGAAAATAAGTACATTTTATGCATATTTAGTTATTTGCATATTTACAAATTTTGCAAATTTTACAGATTATTATAAATAAAAATACAATTTATAAAAAATAAAAATATAATTTACAAGTAATTATAAGGATAATTAATATATTAAATTATAATTCTTAATATTTAATTGAGAATGATAAATTTTGTACCGTACAAATACTCCATTGTCAAATAGAAAAAATAGAAGAAATTTATTTTGATGTCCAGAATATATTACGTGCGTTTAAAATATATTTTTAGTAAGATTAATCCAATACGGGTCAATCAAAAAGTATTCTTGATACAATCCTAGTAGAATCTTTTTGCCGTCTATAGTTTGTATACACAGTGGAGTGGAGTGGATGCCAACTATTGTCGTAAAGGATTAAATATAAAATAAAATTTTTTATTTTATAAAAGCCAGAACAAAATTCGGATTTCAATGAAAATCTATGAACATTTTATAGAATTCTTATGAATTCTTACCATCAATGAATTATAAAGAAGAATTGAAAAACAATGAGATATATACTTGCAGAAAATTAGTTGAAAGTATGCCTTAAGTTTGAACTTTGAAAAACTAAAGGATTTTGAATAAAATTAAAGTTACTTTAAAATGAAAAAATAAATAAAAATTGATAAAAATATCGTGTAAAACAAAATTGATGAATATTCTTTATTAGAAATAAATAAATTAAAAAAATTGAGAACTCTAAAAAATTTTTTATGTTAGTTTAAATTATATAAAATATTATTGTAATGTTTATTTTCTCTAATAATTATTGTTTACGACAAAAAATAAAAATAAAAATAAAGATTTATATAAAATTTTTAATTATTGATTCAATTTTGCTTCTCATTATATATCAATTATCAAAATATATATAAAACAAAAAGTTGTAGAAGAAATTTCTCCAGTAACAATAGACTTTGAAATAAAACGTTTAATGAAAATGAAAAAGAAATAATAATAAGATATTGTTCGCGTCCGCAACAATATTATTATAATGGTTTGTGGATGGAAGCTAATAGCTGGATGCTTGTAGAATGCTCTTCGAGATACGTAACAAATGGTATATTTTTTAAAGATGAGTGGATTAATAGTTACGTGCAGAGCATATATCTATTAGAGAACAGAGTCTCACAGTCGCAGCAGGTAATCGTATCCGACGGCCAGAACACAATATAGTGTTACAACAAAACTAATGTAATTATTGTATGCAGTGGTTACGAAATACAATGAAACTTTTTAGCAAGCAACGATAAATAATCATGTTTGACGATTAGAACACGATGTATTCACAAACTATCTAATTGTCATATTCGGCAGTCAGACTACGATCACCATGAGACTCTATTTGCAAATGAAATCTGTGCCCTCAGAAAAATACTTTCCTGGTTTGAAAGGATCATAATTTCTCAATAGGACACGCTAATAACCAATAACATCGCAGCCAGTGTCCGGTTTGCGATATCCCCCAAGTTCGAGGAAATTCCTCGCTTGGATGGTGATTTGTATACAAAGCTCTCACGATAAACAAAAATAGATCGGCAATCTGTCTTATAGATTTCTCGAACTAAAACAATAAATGTTATTTGTCTTTGAATCAACTGCGTTTGGAATATGTTACTGTTAAGATTGGTTCAGCAAGCTGAAATATATCAAAAATATACAATTATACATGTCGGCTAAATTCTCAAAAACAGTCTTCTCAGATAACATCGTCTTTTGTTTAGACTTAATAGATGCCCGCACGCAATAAGAAGAAAAAGAGTTTTTACATGAAAAATTTTTCAGAATAAGCTGTTTATAAATCTTGCGAGTATAATAAGTGCTTGCGAACAAATATATAACAAGAATTGCCGAAATATTTTTTATGGGATGAAAAGAAAAAATTCGCATATTCTTACACAAAAATATAAGATACTTATGTGTTATATTAGAGAAAATAAAATACTATGAATGAAGATTAAATATTTTTTAATTTTGTGAAAAAACACTTATAAATATGTATACTTCTAACTTCCTAGCTTACCAATCTCATGCTATTAACTTTAATGAATCAAATTTTAACATTTTTTTTGAATATCAAAAAGTTTTTGATTACAAGTTTGAAGCAAAAGACATTATAATATTAAAATGGTTCAAAAATTAGATAAAAAAAAAAAAAAACTAAATAATTAGTTGTTAATAAGTATTGATATTTGTTAAAAGATTAGTACTGTAATTTGATATTAATGCTATTAATAGTAATTTCACTACTATACATGTTCATATTTTTTCAATTTTAAATCCTAAGATTATTTTTAAAATATTTTTTGAAATATATTTCTGGCTTATTGATATTTAATAAGGAAATTCTAAATTCTAATTCAATGCAAGATAAATAAATATAAATAAGTAATGAAAAATTTGTATCAAAAATAAAATTTTTGTATAGAACTTCATTTCGAAAAATTAGAAAAAAAGGAGAAAATCGATCATCTATACTAACAATTACATAATATTTTTTGCGCAAAAAAAAGTATAATTTGAAGAAAAATACAGAAAAAAAAGTGGATAAAAAGTTACGTAATTTTAAGAAATGAAAAAAATATAAAAGAAAAAGAATAAAATCTAATAAAGAAAAAGATAAGATAATATTATGATTTTCACAATTATAAAATGAAATAATTACGTACAATATTGTAATTGATCAAAAAATTTTATTTACATTTACATCTTTTCTATATATTCTAATAAAGTTTAAGTAAAAAAAATATTGATTCCAGCTATGTTACAACTACCTTTAGGTATGGAACTTATGGATATACTTAACATTTTTTATTATATTGTATAAAATGTTTAGTATTAATGTTTAATGCTTGCATTTGTTAAATACTTTCTATTAGAATTTCTTAAAAGAATAATTATTCGACAATTATCATTAATAAATTATGTTTCAAAACATAATATTCATCAATAATTTTATTATCCAATAATATAAAGGATAAAATAATATAACGAAAAAATAATAATATAAAATAATATAATATAACGAATAAAAAATACGATTATTATAAAATAAATGTAAATTTTTGCTTCAAAACATGTTTAATGTTGAATATTTTGTTACACTATTATATTTTTATCCGTATTTTAATTTAGAATTTCAATTGAAATTAATGCAAATAATACGAATTTTCAATAGAATTTTCAGACTATAATCTAGAATCGGTATCTTATAGTTATTTATATATAATAATATATATTATTTATTAGCTTGTATTCTATAAATCAATAAATTAGTTTCAGAAAAATTCAGAAAAATCATTTATCTAAATAATTCTAATCCGGTAATTATTATACTTTTATAAATACATGTAAAATGTTGCGACATGTTTATATATTCGCATAACATTTTAATTGTATTTTGAGCATAATACATGCGGATTCTCGGAAATTTTTTTAAAGATAAGATTTGCAAATTTATCCAATAAATCAATCGGATTCAAAAATTGGATTTAATTTTGTTCGACTTTTAGATGATTGCGGAATACGGAATGCAAATTAAATTTTATGTAAGTTATTAATATTATAAATCTATTTGAACTATTTTCTTTTAAATTCAAATTTAAGACGGTAAAACAAAAAATTAAGCCATTATGAAAGTTGATTGATCATAATAATACATTCAAATTGTCAAATTAATAACGAAACTGTCATTCTTACACTAAGCGAAAAAATTATTTAATTAAAAATATCAATTGTAATATCAAAGGAATTCATTCTAACAGACTGGCACTAAACTTCTTGAACAAACAAATTAGATTAAGAATATATTACTTTTCTCAGCCTTCATTTAGATTCAGCAAGTTATTAAATAACATAATCCAAGTTATTAAATATAATAAAATATTTTGATATATTAGTAAATATATTCATATCATTATAAAATCACTAAATATTATTTCCTTTGATAAATTATATTTATGCAATTAAAAAAATAAAAAAGAAAATTCGAATTCGCTATGTATATTCTAAAAATATTTCTTTAAATAGATATTTTTCGCAATAGATATTTCATGATATTATTTGCAATATATTGATTTCATCTTCTGATGAAAAGCATTGAATAGCTTCTTTTTTTGAATATGTCATGAAAAATAAAGATTTTCATTCATCTTATAAATGGTATAAATATTCATTACTCGATAGATTACAGACTTCTGCAGAAATTTTCTAATAGCATTTTTGTTTGTTGTATTCTAAATCTCGTTTATCAGCCATGACGAAGATATTTTTATTGTTTTGTCATCATCTTTCCAACCAAAAAGTGTTAACAATTTCGAATTTTTTTTATTTCTTCGAATTGAAATAATTGCAAATAAATTGCATAGAATAAATTGAAGTTTCTACTTGCAAATTCTTCAATAATTAAATTAAATAAATGGTATTTGTATTCTAAAACAAAGTTGATCAATAGAAATTTCAATAAAGAAAAAATGATAGTTGAAAAATATATATATATATATCTTTCATTAAATTGATAAAATATATTACTAAAATTGTTCCATATAGAATTTCCTGGATTAATTTTCTTACTATCAATGGATGCGAAAAAATTCTTTAAACATATAATAAAAAATTTCTCATTTCTATGATGATGATATATTTCTAGAAAGTTTTAAAATAGCATGTTGAAAAGTTCAAGGTTAATATTAATACCACGATGTACAGAAAGATCACATGAAATAAAATACATAAAAGATTAAAAATTATTTTTTCCGACTGCAAATATTCATATGCTTTTTTTTTTAATTGATATGACTGATAAGAATTAATAACATTTAAAAGTTTTTTTTAAATGATTGGAGATAAAAAATTTTCTTTTTAATATAATTATTTACTAAATTTTTGTTATTGCAATTTTAATTTAAATTGCAATGAAATCTAACTATAATTATTTGAAATATTTTGTTTTAATAATTTCTATTCAGAATAGATAAAATTATAACATATATAATATATGTATGACATAATTTATTTATACACATATATATTTTAAAACATATAGTCAACGATATAAATTATAATAAATATAATAAATAATAAATAAATTTTCATATTAAAATTATTATTCTGAATCAAAAAAATATATCTCAACTATATTTGAATAGATAATAATAATAAAAAAAAAATTATATATAATTTATACTAATAAAAAATAAATTAAATANTATTAAAAATTTAAATATTAGTTAATAATTAATTCTATAACAATTAATAAAAGTTAAATTCAGAAATTAAATTAAATAAAGATAAATTTAAATACTAGCAATAGCGGTTAAACTTAATTTATAAATTAATTTATTTTATTAAATTAATATAAAAATATTTATTAAAAATTAAATTTATTAATTTCGAAATTTTGAATGAATTGTAATAGCTATTAATTAATTTAATTAATTAATTAAAAATAAATTATAACAATTATATAAATTATAATAATTAATTAATTAAAAATAGTTTAATTAAAAATGAGGATTTGATAATCTATTATTATTAGATTAATTCTAATATTAGATATCCTATTATTAAAAAAATTAAAAAATTTATTCAATTATTAAATGTTAAATCATTAAATCATTAAAATTAAATACTATAGCAGGTTTTTATTCTAATTAGAGAAATTTGTTTATTAATTTGATAATCCGATAAGAAATACTTAAGTTATATTTATATATTGTTGTTTTATTAATTTCAATAGTTTAAAGTTAATAATATTTGATTAAATATAAATTCAAATCAAAATAGTATATTTAAGGCTAAAAAGAGTTTTGGTGAATTAAATTTTTGAATAATTTAATTTTAAAATAAATTTAAAAAAGGATTTAAAAATAAATATCTCTTATATCAGAGTTAATTAAAATTTTAATAATCTCAAAAATAAATGAGATCAATTTATATCTTTTTTTGTTTAAATAAAATTATTAATATAAATTTAGAAATTAAATATTAAAAGAATTTATTAATATCTAATTTTTTTTAAATAAATTTAATTTAGATATAAAATTATTTAATAATTTAAATAATTTTAAAATTAATTAAAATTAATTAAAATAATTTTATTAAATTTTATATTAAAAATTTATAGGATAAACTATGAATTTAATAATAAAAATTTAATTTTTAAATATTTAAATGTCATAAAGATATTTTTTTTTAGTTAAAAAAATTTAATAATTTAATTTACTTAATTTTCAAAAAAAAGATTCTAGATTGAATTTTATAAAAATATTATTTTATATAATAACATTTTAATTATTTAAAATATAGTAATGATGATTAAATTAGTAATAAAAAATATATTTAATGTGTAATTATTAAATTAGATTTAAAAGAATTTGGCAAATATATTATTCACTTGTTTATCAAAAACATGTCTTATAGAATACAATTTCAATCTGTTCCGTGAATTTGAATTTTAAATAACTGCACAAAGATAACATAATAAATTATCTTTTAATTGAAGAATTGAATAAATGAAATAATTATAAACTCTAAATGAATTTAAATGTATTTAAATTTTTAATTAAAATTCTAAAATTTAATTATGGGACGATAAGACCCTAGAATTTAATTTATTTAATTATTTAATTTATTAATTAATAAATAGATAATAAATTTTCAATTAATTTTCCCAATTAAATTTAATTGAGAGAATTAATAAATTAAATAAACTTTATTTTAATTTTAATTTTGATTTAAAGATAAATATTGATTTATAATTTATAAATGAGAGAATAAATTACCTTAAGGATAATATCTTTTGAAAGATTTTATTGATAAAGATGATTGTGACCTTGATATTTAATTAAGATAGAAATTAAATATAGGAGTTTAATAATTTCCTTCTTTCTTTTTCCTCTTTATGTTATTAATTTTTAGATTCATTTTATTTTTTTCTTTCACCTATAGAATTCTATCTATTATTTCTTTTATTCTCATTAATACTCATATATATTCTTTTATATTTTCTTTTATATTTTTATTTTTTTTTTCTTCTTATATTTTTTAATTCCAGATTCTTACTATTCAGAATTATTATTCTTATTTTTTCTTCATCTCTTTTTTCTTCTTTTCTTCTAACTCCTTTTCTAATTTTATATTTTTAATCTATTTTTTTAATATTCTCAATCTTTTCCATCTTCTTTTTTAATATTTCTAGTTCCATTTTTCTTGTTTCTTTTTTATCTTTTTTGATACTGATTCTTATCTCTTTTTTTCTCTAATTTAACCTCTAATTTTCTAATTTTTTTTCTATAATTGTATTCATCATAATTTTTTTCTTTTTTCTAATTTATCTTTTTTTTTTACATTTTTTTTTATAAAACCATTGATTATTTTTATCTAACCTTTTTCTTGCTTTTTCTTATTTTTTTTATTCTTCACATATTTACATTTTCATGTATTCTCGCACTTTTCCTTCTGTGATGGGATATATTTTCCTTCTGTATAGGATTTTTTCGACCGATAAGAGAAGGCGCATCATCCATCCGATAAAACAAGAAAATTTCATTCTCCTATCTAGATAAGAAAAAGTTAGAAAAAAGGAGAACAATTAAATCTTATTAAACAAAATGTTTGAAAAACGAGTTTCAATTATATAATAAAAGTATTACAATAATAGTTAAATAATAGTTATTTTATAATTTTTGATTATTATTTATTTTGATAACAACAAAACTTCTTTTTCTAAAAAAATAAAAAAATGGTGTGAATTCCCTATACATCTGTGAAAAATTTTATGAATCATATTATTATTTTATCCCAAAAAAATCATTTTAATTATTTGTCGATTTTCAATGAATTAATAATATAAACAATTTAATAATAAACAATTTAATAATTGTTTAAATATTGTATTTAACATACAGTTTTTAACATACAAATTATATTGTTAATATATTGTTAATATATTGTTTTGTCTTATATGAATTTTTTAATTTTATAACTTTTATAATTTTTTAACATTATATGAATTTGATTAACTTTAATTTATATTATTATTATCACATAAATCTAATGTCAATATGTTCATATTTTGATATATCGATATATTTAACGCATAATTTTTAAATTAGCTGTATTTAGTAAGTATTTAAAATCTATATTGTTAAAACATTCGCTGCAAGTGTAGATATAAAAAACCGAAATTCAAAAAACCAAAGTTTGCTAAAAAATTTCTAAAATATTTGACATCGAATTATTAATTCTTAGTCATATTCTTAGAAAATATTGAGCTCTCGAAATATTTCATTCTATGTTTTTGTTCATGTTTTTTTCTCGATTTTCACATTTTCATGATATTTATTTATCGCGAAATTTTAAATGCAATAGTAGAATTTTTCATCATGATTCATTCGAGAATGAATAGAGAATTCAATTTATGATTGAATTAGAATAATCTAGAATAGACTAGTCGAACTTTTTCCTCTCCAAGAGCCATTCTCGATTTCAATTTTATCCTCGACATGTGTGTGTGTGTGCGTACGTGCGCGCGCGCGCGCGCGTGTGTGTGTGTGTGTGTAGAGAGAGAGAGAGAGAGCCAATAAAACCAAGCACAAAATATTATAATAAGCTGCGAAACTATTAAAAAAATGTTATATAATCTGCTGATGACGAGGCTTACGTAATATTCAGAGCTAATAATAATACTTTTTTAAAGATATAAAAGGACATTCTCCTACGATTTTTTAAATAGACAAAAGTAAGATAGGAATTATAGTAGTCAGATTGACTCACTTTAATTTACAGTTTGTCTTAATATAGATCTGAAACATAAAATATAAATATCATAAAAAATAGAAGAGTAAAAGAACATAGATTTTTTTCAAAAAAGAAAAAGAAACCATTAAAAAGCATAATATTTTTAAATTCAATAACAAGAACAATCAAATTAAATATTTTTGTTTTTTGCGCATTTCATCGAGTTGTTGCCGTACTTTAAAATATAAAATCATTTTTCTTTTCCTTAAAATTATTAGAAGATTGCAACAATATATTAACAAAAATTTAAAATTTAAAATATAGATATTAAATTAAATATTTTTACATAAATATTTACTTTTGAATATTTCTTGTGAGAATTAATTGCACATAATTATGATTGCGTAGCTGAATAGAATAAAATCGATGTACATGTACAACAATCAAATGAAAAGAAAAAATTTTTCTTAAAAAATGAGAAAAATATTGACTGTCTTTTTCGCTAAAAATGATGTCATTATTAATTTTTTTTTATCAAAAATACAATTTTCGGCGGAACGGCTGAACAGATATAGAGATTGCTACATTATTATGATATTATATCTCTAATCTGAATCTATTAATAAAATTCATTGTATGGCTGTATATCGAGAAATAACTTTTTTGGCAGAAAAGTTCCATTGAGTCTCTAATAGTATTTATATGTTATAAATATTATTGCATATATTATTTTCATTTTATAAACTTGTATTGTGAATCTATTATTAATATATTTTATATCGCAATTTACAATGCAACTCGATTTGAATTAATTTTTATAATGTAGTGAATAACTCGAAATAGCTATCATGAAGAAAATTGAAAAATTCATTTCAGGAAAATTTGTATTGTGCATTGCTTTCATTTTAAATTTGTTTCATGATTTAAAGATAAGAGGAAGAAATGGATTAATAGCATATTTAAAAATGGTTGAATTTGTACATATAATATATATAATAATGCGATTCTACATACATTAAAAAAAAGATTGGTTGACTTTAGATAATAATGTCATATTAAATAATATTCGAGTATTATACTGTTAGTTATGATAACTTTCAGGTTTATTACATAATTATTTAAGTTTTCAAATGTAGTTATAATTGTTCGAAAAAATTCGCAAAGAATTCACTTATTGCGATCTCCATTTATAAAAATTACAAATATGCGAGTTTTTTGTAATCACTAATGCGTATATTTTTATGAACGAAACCGTGCCAGTCTTCATAACAATCACTGGTATTGGAACAATATTGTATTTTTAGTAAATTAATATCAGATTTTAAATTTCACCTCCACAATAAGAATAAACATAATAAATTTAAAAGATCGTATATATAAGAATGCGACGCGATATATAAAAATTTTTTATTTTTATAATTTCATTTATAAACACCAATTTTTCAGTTAAATTTTATGTGGGTCAGAATTAGCGCAATGGAAGAATGCAATATACCAAGAGCATAAGATATTTTTAAGAAATTATACTTAGGATGTAGTTGAAAGACTGATGAAATATAAAAATTGTAATTGTAAGTTGTCGAATTGTATATAAAATGTATATAAACTCAATTATAAATATAAAATATTAATAAAAGACTAGATTTGTAATATAAGAATATTCCTAAGAAAAAGGCATCAAGACTTTAACCAAGTATTTTCTTCAGTTGCAGTTTGAGTTCCATACGTGCAATGATGGCATTAGCATTGAAAAAAGAGCTTACAATAGATACAACAATACAATAATTAGATATGTCTACTGTTTTTTTGAATGAAGAATTAAATGAAACTATTTTTATGAAATTACCATAATCACCAGATTTTTAAAAAAACTTTAAAGCATATTGATCATAGTAATGATAGTTAGTTGTAAGCTGAGATTCAAAAACAACTTAAAACAACTTAAAGAGAAATGCCCATTAAAAAAGGATATCTATAGTTTATGATAAGCTAAATATCAATGGAATAAGATTTTTTATCAAACTCTGAGATAAATGGAAATGACTGCATCAATTGAATCTCTGTTATTATATTGCCAAGAGAGATAACAATATAATGTTTATAATGATATATATTGATGACATTCTTATGTGTTTCAAGATTTAAATTGGATATTAGAGATAAAAAGAGATTTAATGAATAAATTTGATATGATTTGGATAGGATCAACCGCTGTGTGAGTATTGATTTTACTAAAACATCAAAAAAAATAACGATGTCTCAAAAGGCACATATTGAAGAGTTATTAAATCATTTTGGTATACAAGAGTCAAATTCTATATTTATATCATTGAAGCTCTTTGATGTGCACTCAGCCGTATATCGCATTTTTCAGTGAGTATGCTAAGCCAGTTTAATGATTGTTATGACTTTAGTCAACAGACAAACGAGTTCTCAGATATCTTAAGAGCATAATTGAGAATGGTTTAATCTTTGAAAAAGTATCAAAGATCTTCAGAGTTATTTTGGTTCACATACAGAATATGTTTTTAAATTGTGTGAAGCGGCCATCAGCTGGGAAATTCGGAAGCAAAGAACAGTGACTCTTTATATTCAGACTGAATATATAGCCCTTTCGAAAGTGAGAAAGAAAGCCATTATTTCAAAAAAGTTCTGAAAGATATTGGCTATTAACTGAATTCACCATTAGTAATTCATCGATAATTAGA